CACCTATGAGGAATTAAGAAAACGCTGAAGAATCTATTTTTATGTTAGTTACACGGAATTTTTGATGGGGAATTTTGTCTTAGCTAAGTGAAAAGTGCATGGATATTGGGTAAATTCAAATCCGTTTGTTTCCGGTTGGACAGTTAACCACCCCGATATCCCACTCCTTTTTCCTCGTCCGAAGAACAAAGAAAGATCGAAAACGCAGGCGTTGTGAAGACTTGACATGCATTAAAACACGTTAGTGACGCCATTGTCTAAAAATTGATCGCAAAATTTTTTTTTTAGTTGAACTTTAATTAATAATTTGAATTTTGAATAAAAATATCAGATCTACAGCCACAGCATCAGACTTTTGCCCTGACCAGCAAGGTGTCTCACGTGGCCACAGCAATGGGAGGGGCTGGTCAAAATCATCCTTTTGGATACCCATGGGCGTTATCACAGTCATTTACGACATCTATGTTTAGCCAAAGGCTGTCGCCGACGATGTCTTTTACGCAGCAGCGTTCGTTTAGCGGTATGCGTCCACTCCAACCATCCGCGCCCCAAGGTTTTCCTTTACCGCCGAAACCCATCATTCCTGAATCTTCTAATCCTTTCTTTTAAATGAAGCTAAAAGGAAACATCTCAAAATGTAACGGATGTGAAGGAAACTTTCAAAAAGACTCTCAACCTGTTGATAGCATGGCAGTCATTGGACGTTTAGAGGTGGACTGGTATCCAAATCTGTACTTAGATGGCACAGAATGTTGGAAGTTAGGATGAGCACAAAGAAGATACTACCATATTAACACAGCATGTTTGTGCACACGTCGTCCCTGGTTCCATGCAGGCCACTTGCAAGGTCTGTTGAGGAGAACTGAGGGAGGCCTGTCTCTAACGGAAGAGCTTATCGCTTTCGTTAAGCAGTGCTTTTCCGGAATTGAAATTGAACAAATGGCAGACTGACTAAGGCATTTGAATAAGGGCTGATAGTTTCGAAATAAACCGTTTGGGGCTGCGTCGGTGGGAGTAACGAAATAATTTGGATATATCAACAATTTACTACTTCAACTTTGTTGATATATCCAAATTATGAGTAAGGCATTGCTATATTTTCTTTGTACCCTTTTCATGAATAATCGAGATCTCGATTAAAGGGACGCTGACCATGTTAACCAATAATTTGACGAATGATTTGCTGTTTATTATTTAGTTTCTCGGCCGTTAAAAAAAAGATAAGTTAATAATTAAAAATAAACAAAAGATGAGATAAAAAAAGTTGATAAAAAACAAATGAAGCCGGGAGTTCGATTATTCCTCGAGGATCTCAGGGTAACTTCGGAGACCCTCAGATAGTTTTCGGTTAATCATCGTAGTATATTCGGAGCTCGTACACTCTTCAGAAAATCATCGGAGTTGTTTTGAATTAAAAAAACAGACGTTGAAATATTCCGGCGGAATTCCGGATTCCGGCTTTTCCAGACTACCCTAGAGGATCTCCGGGTAACTTCGGAGACCCCTCAGATAGTTTTCGGTTAATCATCGTAAGATATTCGGAGCTTGTACACTCTTCAGAAAATGATCGGAGTCCTTTTAGATTAAAAAAACAGACGTCGAAATATTCCGACGGAACTCCGGAGTCAGGCTTTTCCAGACTACCCATTCTGTGCGCGCCAAAATCTAATCTAATCTTCGCCTGAAAAAAAAAAAAGAAAAGCTAAG